TTGACCCTTATAATGGCCTCTATGAAGCTCCGGAGGTGTCCATTGGTTGTGAACATCGGCGGTAAATGGCGGAGTTCGGTCCGGAGCTTCAAAGAGCGCAGTAGACTTTGGTTTTTCGTCGTTTGGTCGATTTCGGATGGGCTTCTGTCGGCACTCACGTATGAAGAATCGCGGATAACCGTTAGATGGGAACGAGGAATTGAGGTATTTCGCCTCCGCCTTTTTGCCGTCTTCATCGCTACATTGCGTTTGAACGCGTTGGAATAGATATCTAACACAATTGCGTTTGTGACCAATCGGGTGGTTACTTTGGAATTGCAGGATGCGTTAAGTGTTCGTTGCCTTACAATAGACCGTAGTTTTTATCCTCCCCTCGAAAGTCCTCTTGACATGCACAACCAGGAAAGGCAACTGGTCCTTATCTTCCTCTTTCATCGTAAATTGATTGTCGGGGAATATATAATTCAGTAAGGTTTTAGAGCTCTGCACGTCGTTCATTTTGATTACGACATATGTGTCGTCGACGAATCTGGTCCACAATGTTGGACAGTAAGCCCGGAAGACTAGCCGTTCTAGCCTCTACAGGACCGCCTCGGCAATAAGTCCCGACAGGGGGAGCCCGTCGGTGTTCCCTTCGTCTGTTCATAAACCTGGTTGTTGAAGCTGAAGAAAGCCCTGAGGCACAATTCCAACAGCTCAGTGACGTGTTGTCGTTTAAGTTACTGTTCCTCGTCCTCATACTTTTGGGCGAGTAATTCATCAATAATGCTTACGGCGAGGCCAGTTGGAATAGAGGTGAATAGCGACACCACGTCAAACGATACCATCATCTCGTCCGCATCCATTTCTAGATGCCTTATCTTCCGCAGAAACTGTTCAGCTGACTTAACTGTAGATTCGAATCCTCAGTGAGGAAGCGGAACCGCTTGTAGAGCCACTTTGATACTCCAAGCGTCGGAGTACCACGCAAGGAGACGATGGGGCGAAGGGGCACTCCAGGCTAATGCACTTTTGGCAGACCGTAGAAACGCGCGACCGCGGCGGCTGTGGCTTCTGCAGTCAGTACCTCTCCTCTTTTGAGGGCCCCGGACTTCTTTAACTTGTCAATTGCCCTGTTAACGCTGTTCACGTGTTTCTTAAACTCTCTCGCTCCCGAAAGCTGGTAGGCGTTTTCGTCCCCCAACAGACCTTGTAGCTTCGAT